TCAAAATATTCAACAAAAGTTTGAGAATTTTATGTCTTTATTGAACATGTTGCTTAGAAATAGTCTCTATAACCAGGAATAATGTAAGCTTATGTTTTTGTTCTTTATTCTTACCAGTTCACAGCTAACTATAAAATCCATCTCAGTTAAGTTTTTCCTTTTTTTAATTTCTAAATTTTTTTAATAATTTTATTGAAAAACAAATAGCAATGAGACAGTTTCAAAACCGATTAGTAGGAAAATTTCAATAATTAATACATCGGCATATTGTTGTCTTCTTATTCTCTGGTTCTTCTTTTTTTTCTGGTTCTTCTTGAATGCTAACAATTCATACATGTACATTTTTCATACTGTCCCATAAATTTCATGAGCTTTCTTCTTTCCCTTTTATTCTTTTGTTACTCTGACTATATATTTTCAAATGTGCTTTCTCTGAGTTCACAGATTATTTCTTCTGCTTGATAAATTCTCATGTTCCTGGTCTGCATTGCATTTAAAAATTTTATTCACATGTTATTCATTACCAGAATTTCAGTTTGATTTTTTTAAATTATTTTTTAATCTGTTGTTAAACTCACTGATAAATTTGTTTCTTTGCATTTTCTTGAAGTTTATTTAGCTTCTTCAAAACAGCTATTTTGAATCCTTAAGAAATTTATACATTTCCATATATTTGGACTTAATCCCTGGCATTTTTAATTGACAATTTCATGTTTCCCTGATTGTTTTCGATATATTTGTGTCTTCAATTAAAGAGTTGGGTACTTATGCCAGTCTTTGAGATCTGGCTTTGTCTGAGAACATCCTTCAACACAAACTTGTCAGGAGTTCTACGTAGGTCATCTATGGTGGCCCTTAAGTCCATGACCACTACAGCATTGTGGTGCTAGGGGACACCTTAAACACACTGCCATGGTCTGCACACCCTACGCTGGAATCCCATGACCTTTAAGGCTCCCATAGGACCATATTGGAATACTGCCTTACGAAGATAAACACAGCACTGAAGACCTAGACTGCTGAGGCCTACCTGTTCTATGATCTCTCAAATGGATTTCCTTGGGTCTTATCAAGGTATTTTCATGTGTGAAGAATTGTTCAAGCAGATATTTCAGTAGGGGAAATTCACCATAGAACCCTACTCTACCATCTGTCTCTGCCCTTCCTCTCTCTCTTTTAGTATTTTGTCTACACTTTTCTTTTTTGCATATACTTTATTATTATTATTTCAATATGAGGTCTCACTATGTAGCTCAGACTCAGTGATCTTCTGTCTTAGCCTCCCCAGCACTAGGATTACAGGCATGTGTCACCACACCCAGTTTCAGGCCAGCACAGTGCACCCAGGATTCCAGGGATTGAACCTGGGTCCTT